CGACTGTTTAAGCAAACAAGAAAGGAGCCTGCAGAATTCTGCTCCCATGGGAGCTGAGGCTCCCATGTTGACTCCAAAGTATGTATTTGCTTGGGCTGTTGCTCGTCGCTCCCAGAACTTGGGTTCGCCTGGCACACAGAGAAAGGAGTCAGGAGTCACGCACTCGTTCAACAAGGAAGAACCCATGGGAAAGAGAATTGCACATCAGAACGATTGAGCTGTGTAAGAGGAGGACTGGACTCTGGTCATTTGTGGGCAGACCCTGCAGAGGGGGTGAAATGAGTCTGTGTTTGGGAGTGAATGCTGCGCCAGGTCTCCCCAACCTGTGTCAGACCCTTCTGATCCCACTGCCGCACAAAAGCCAAGCTCAGATGTTTAAAAAGGACATTTAAAATGCAGGTGTCTATACGAGAAGACAAAAGGTGATCCAAAACACTAGGAGTTTTCTGTAAAGTGTGACAATCTCTTTATTCTGTGGAAGCTTTTCGTAGAACGTCAGTCATTCCCAGTTGTACTCAGTAATGGATTACAACGGGAGTTTCCAAAGATAGTAACATGTGTAAACATATGTATATATGTCCATAGGTATATACAAGTATATAAAGGTTTGAGATAGATATACATATAATTTTCAACCCCCATCGCCCTTCCCCGGGAAGACATTGGCTTCATTTCCTAGAGAGAAATCATGTCAGGTCTTTTTTTCCTGTCCCATCACCTCAGTTTGGTCCCTTTCAATGCATCATGCTTGGAAAAGGAGAGGATCAACAAAAAAGAGGCAGACCCTCGAGAAGAGGGATGGATGTAGTAGCTGCCGTGATGGGCTCAGACACAGTGATTGTGAGGATGGCACAGGACCGGGCAGGGGGCACGCGGTCACTGTGAGCGGGAATCCACCCAGTAACAAATGCGAATGAGCTGAGTACTAGCATTTAAAACGTACTTCCACTTGTATCCTCCTTTCTCATGGCAAATAACACCAATAAATATTTTGTTTCTGTAGCAAAAACAAAAACGGCTATTTATGTTTTGGCCTCTGGGCCTCCTAGTCATCTTGATCATCATTATTATTTAAGACATGTCTAGGCAGCTGGTGGTTCAAACAACACTCCGTGGGTGGATGTGATTTGTATGAGGCAAGAAACAGTTCAGTTCACCAATGTTGTACACAGAGAGCAACTTTATACTCTGCTGTTAATAATGGTGGCATAGCAGTGAGTATTGTATGTGGTGTCCAATGTTTCTCCTACTGATGTGATCATTTATTCACTGTTTAGCATCTACGTGAAACTTTTCATTGTGGACACTGCTGGTCTTCTTGTACCTGGCTTTAATGTTTCGGTCAATTGCTCTCACTGACATATACTGTGTGTCCTAAATGAAGGTAGGAGTCTTAGTGGTGGAAAGAGTTGCTAATCACAGGTCTGCTGGTCACACCTGGATGAGGCCGTCTACTCCTGTAAAGGTTTACCGTCTCAGAAAGCTACAGGGGCAGTTCTACTCTGTCCTGTAGGGTTTCTGTGAGCTGGAATGGACTTGGTGGCATTGGGTTTGGTTTTGGATTACATTGTACATTCCAAACAAAAATTTCTTTAGGAAATTTTTATTCCAGCAGGAGAGGTAGCACATTGAGAAAAATGACTGCAAAACAAAGAAAACTCCAGGAGAGGTGTACAAAAAGGTTTCACGAGAGCACAGAAAGAGAAGTCAGGTCAGGCTGAGGGGAACAGGAGAGAGGAGAGCGTTTATGAGTTGCATCTGGAAGGATCGGAATTCAACAGGAAGGAAGAGGACAATGTGGGAGGAGGAATGTGAGTCTATTCCAGGTCAGGGGAACAATAGCAGAAGGACACCCTCGGAATCCTCTCATACTTCTTCAACTCCTCTGATTACAAATGCCCAAAAGGAGCAAAACTGTGGAATCTAGAAACCATGGAATATGAAGTGATTAGTGGATGATTTGTTTGGAGGTCGAGCATGCATTCACAATGGGGGCATTGGTACCCCTAAAAAACAAAAATCAAAATCACTGCTCTCATGTAGAAAGTACACAGTACAGTACATTGAAATAGATATACAGTTTATCTGTGCTATTAAATTTTTTATTAGGTAATTTGGCGGAGGCACCCTAACAGACTCCTTAGGGCAACCAATAATGAACAAGAGGTGGAGAAACCTTGGGCTGGAGCACGGGCATATGCAGAGTAAGGACGGGCCCAGACTGAATGCTGTGCTGGAAAATCTGGACTCTCTTGTATAAGCAGTGGGAAAAATAGTAGATGCTTTGAGGATGGCAATTGTTGAAACAGAATTTGGAGATGATTACTCTGGTAGTGGTAGATAAGGATGATATTAGTTATGTCTTCCACATAAAGCTATGTTGAAATCCTAATAATACTTTTCAATTGACCTTGTTTGGAAGTAGTGTCTGCTGACATAATCAGTTAAATTATGATGTCATGTGGGAAGAAGGTGGGTTCTCATTCCATCTGACTGGTGCCCTTATGAAAAGAGGAGGAAGGACACAGACCCACAGGTGGAATACCATTTGATGACGGAGGAAGAGATGTGGAGTGCTGAATCTACCAGCCAAGGGGCACCAAGCATCGTCAGGAACCACCAGAAGTTAGGGAGACACATTGAAGGACCTTCCTATAGAGCAGGGGTTCTCAACCTTCCTCATGCCTTGACCCTTTCATACAGGTCCTCATGGTGTGGTGACTCCCAGCCATCAAATTATTTTCGTTGCTACTTCATAACTGTCATTTTGCTACTGTTATGAATCAGGCGACCCCTGTGAAAGGGTCGTTTGACCCCCAAAGGGGTCGCGACCCACAGGTTGAGAACCGCTGCTTTAGAGCCTTCAGCGACCATGACATTGCTGACCCTGACTCACCAATGACTCGATGGCAGAATGAGCTTAGTTTTGTTCTTTAAAATCTCCATTACATGTAAACATGGCCTTGTTTGGAAATAGGATTTGTGGAAATATCAACTAAATAATGTCATAACAAACACCATAGGTCCTAATCCTATCTGAGTTACATTTCATATACACGAAAACAGACCTGGAGACATTTAAACATATGTGTCTGAAGGTATATAAACATATATAAAGATACACAAAGAGGAGAAGTGACCAGGTGATGATGGAAGCAGGCATGGTTTTAAGTCGAGGAATAACACAGATTTCTGGAAGTCATCAGAAGCTAGGAGAGGGACATGAAACAATTTCTCAGAGCCCTTAGAAGAAATCAACACAGTGTATTCCTTGATTTGGACTTCTAGCCAACAGAACTATAAACTTTCTGTTTTTAAAAACTCATCCACTGTATGGTATTTTGTTATGACAACCCTAGGAAATCAATACAGATAGCCACAGCAAATGGTGGGAGATAGCAGAAATGAAGTTCAGGCCTCAACCTTGAGGCACACTTTAAGCCTTAGGCTACAGCACAATAGAGTGTTGAGAAATTTACAAGGTATTGGGGGGTTGCCCTGGAAACCATACCAGATAGATCCTGTGGGGCTATGTCTAGTGCTCTTAAAGGTAAAATACTTCTCAAAGATTTGTTTTATTGGCTCGTTCATCCAGCTCCAAGCAGCCAATCTTACCATTAATAGCTGGTAACTGGCAACATTCTACTTTGCCTCTAAGCTAAAGAGATACCCATCAGTTGGTTTTTCAATAGTAACAGCTTATAACAGCAATAATTGCCAGAAATCTTCCATCTTCTTCAGACTGCTAACCAAATCCCTAGCAGAGGGTTTAATTCTTCCTTCTCTGACAGCTCACCCAGCCAAGAAATATCCTGATATGACCACTTGCTCTAAGATGTTTGCCATCCCAAGTCACCTATGAACCCACTGGGCCATTAAAAAGCTACTCTGCATGCCAGCAATGAGGCATCTGAAAAGAAAATTTGGAGAACAGCTCCATTTACAATAACATCTAAGAGAAAAAAAATGCCTAGGGATGTAAACCAGGGATGTGACTGACTTACACAAAATTATAAAACGCTGCTGAAAGAGATTTTAAAAGACTTAACTAAATGGAAAGATCGCCCATGTTCATGAATTAGAAGACCTAATTTTGTGAAGATATCAATACTACCCAAAGCAATCTGTAGGTTCAATGCAAGCCCAATGAAAATTCAAACACCTTACTGAGAACCAAATGAAGGGTGAGCATGATAGTGGGACAGGAAGAAAGTGAAAGGAAATAGAGGAAAGAAGTAGGAAGCAAAAGCTATTTATAGAGGTCTAACTATAGGCATGTATGTATATATGCAAATATATTACTTTATAATGAAAGGGATAGAGACCAATGTACATATATTCATATGTTAAGTATTAAGATAGCAGACAGACTTTGGGCCTCTACTCAAGGCCTCCCTAAGCACAAGAACACATTATTTACTTATTTATTTTGAAGAACACTTTATTCTAATAATCTGGCA